AAGAAAGAAAGAAAGAAAGAAAGAAAGAAAGAAAGAAAGAAAGAAAGAAAGAAAGAAAGAAGCACACTTGTTCCTGCTACCTAATACAAACAACAGTGCGTGGTCATCGCTCCTCAACATCACTGCATTGTTAACATCATTATGCATCATTGACATTATTGTGCACTTCAGCACAGGATCAGCACATGCAGTTCTTCTTCCTCTTCTGCTCTCTTGAGGCTTTTATGATCAGCTTGTGTTCAAAACCCATGCACCAAAAAGACATGGAAGGGCCAAGATCTCAGTTTAATTTAAAGTTTACTTGCTGACAAATGAACAAAAAAACTCCCTTAACTTCAGGGTCATGGAGGAAACTAGATTTTCTGCAACTGTGTGGGCTGGTGTAAGTACCAAGAAGCTGAACAATAAAGCTAATGCCATGTTCTTTCACAAGCTAATTTAATTCTTTTTTTGGGGGGAGGGGGGAAATGAAGCTCAGTTCAACGTACATGACCAGGAACTGGAAAGCAGGTCAGATCAGCACTAAGGGCTAAATTACATGTTGTGCTGGGGGTCTGTGGTTGGATCTCTCAATGCAATTTGGTTCTTCAGAAAACATGGCAAAGCAGGGGATGATTTAGAACCGGTATTTGGTGTGGGGAGAAGGGGCAGTTAACCCCTTGTCCTGTGCTCATATCTTCCTCCATGACTCATACTAGCAGAAGAGGAATTTTGTCACGGCTGTCGTTCAGGGAAGGGAAGAAGGGCTGAGGGACAGGGGCTGAGCCCCTCCTCGTTCATGCCATGGCTCTAATCCAGGTCTAATCCAAAGGTCATTCTGCCCTGAAGCTGTGTTGTTTTTCTTTTCTTTTTTGAAGGAAAAGGAGAGAGTTCTAATCCCTAATCACCAATATGTACTTTTGTCTTGAGTTATTTTAGAACCTGAATCATGACAGCTGCAACCTATTAATTATTCTGTGAAAATTAGCACAGAATATAGCTAGCTAGCAATTAGCATTTCTTACCTTTAATCTTTCTGTTACACCATCAGTGAAACTGACTGTGAATTCAGCAATTTTGGGCACTCTGAGTTTTCCTTTGTTCTTCTGGTCTGGCTGATATTCTGTTCTTGTTTTCACAATCACCTAGGAACAAATGTTGACATCTTTACTTTTTGAACAAAGCAAGCATCTTTTTTGTCTTAAATGTTACTTTTCCATGAATCATCATTTCTATAAATATCCTCATGTATTCACAAATTATTTTCCTTAGCAGCAGCAGGAGCAAGGTAAAACAAACCTGTCATAAAAACTTGCAACAACTGTGGTGGATTGACATCTCTCTTTTAAGAAGACAAATGCATCACGTATATGACCTTTGTATGATAGCTGTACAAATAAACACACTTCTAAATGTTATATTTTGCATACTCTTTCAATCTAGATGACTGTGCACTCATATATCATTGACTTATTTTAAAATCCATAAAATACCTGAATTCTGAGATTTACAGCCTGAAAAACGTCCTTCTGTTAATAACACACTTTGGCATCTATGACTGAGAAGACATGTGAACAGCTGCTGATTCTTTTCATTTTTTGAAACAACGAGTCCCTCACGTCAGAGTTGATATTGAGTGAATGACTTCTAAGAGTCATCAGTGAGCTTGCAGTTTTCAGCTTCTTTCCTTAGCAAAAGAAGTTAAAAACAAATGTGATAAAACAGTACTTGTCCTGAGAGATTTACAGAAAACAGCCTGTTCAAAACCTCTTCTTTCTCATTCCCGTTGGTCCTGCTCCTTTACTCTCCCTTCCTGCCACTCGGGAAAGTTCTTTATTTATCAGCAACACAACACTATGCAAGTCTACTTAAAAGGAAACCCAGATGAGCTAAGTAAGACTTATTCCTAGATCAGCATCCAAAGGATTACAGCCTGAAAATGCTTGCTTCAGCATACCTTTCTTCAGACATCATACAGTTAACAAAAACCAATCACAGTCCATTAAAAATGTGGGAATTTAAAAAACTAAAGACAATTAAAGTCATGCAGACAACTACAAATCTTCTGTCTAGAGAGGGGCATGAATTAAAAAACAAATCACCAAATTCATTCAAAAACTGATAATTCTTTGATTTGTTTCTATATGGGCCAATGTCCCTGGTGAATACGAATCAATTTTTTTTTTGCAATTTTTGATTCATCAATTTGTTTGGCTATAAAATGTGCCCCCTAGGCACCTAGAGGCATGAAAATCACAGAGAAGCTTCCCATGATTCTCCTTACAATCCCTCAAAGTTTGGTGAATTTTGGGCTCTCCCAAGTCAGGTGCTGAAGGGCACTTTCCTGGAGGGAGCCACTTTGGGGGTGTAAAATCCGGATGTCTGAAACCCAGTCTTCACCAAACTTGGAGAGATTGTAGAGGAGAGTTAGTAGAAGCTTCCCTGTGATTTTGGTATCCCCTGGGGGGAACCCTCCTCAGGGGACCGTCCTTGTGGTTGTATAACTCAGACTTCCAAAACCCAAACTTCACCAAACTTGTAGAGTTTGTAGAGAAGAGTCAGAGGAAGTGGCCCTGTGAATTTGGTGTCTCTCGTGCGGGGGCGGATTTTACAGAGTTTTAAAATAAAACATGAATTGACAAATTGATTCATCAATTCATCAGGAAAAAAATCATAAATTCATAATTCATGATTTGTCAACCATGATGAATCACAAATCAAAACACATATTTTTCTGATCTGTGCCCCTCTCTACTTCTATCCATTGTAAGACAGTACAAATGTACTACCAGACACTAATCATCCAAAGTGGACAAAGCAAATAGATGGGGGGAGCAGATTTCTTTCGCACACACAAAACTCAACTGGAGTTCATATAAATACATATTTAATAGAATTTTTTAATCTAAGCAAGTTCTGAAGTGGCCATGTATTCTATTTTGCAATTCCCAGTTTGAAAGCTGCTCCAGTCCAAGTCTCATCTAGAGATAAAGACCCATAAGAGGAGTTAGCAAAGGCCTGGAAGTTTTTGCCTAACAAAAAAATAAAATAATTTTAAACATTTGCACCTGGGGAGCAAACTGAGCAAGTGCATAGATCACCTAGTCACTGTGATCCCCTACTATAAAGAAATACATGGTCTTTCTATTTAAATTGTAACAGTCTATATTTTCTATTTAAATTATAGTCCATTTAAAATATATTATATTTTCTAATTAAAAGTTCCTATTTAAATTAAATTAGAGTGGGCCTGAACATGAACCATGTTTTTAAATTTGTAATGCTGCCCAGAGTAGACCTTTGGTCTAGATGGGCGGGGTAGAAATCTAATCAATCAATCAATCAATCAATCAATCAATCAATCAATCCTGAAATGGGAAATTGTTTGATAGGCAATCATCGGTTTCTTTAAAGGGGGAATGTGGGGCAAGGCCTTACCAGTAGAACTTTGAGGATGGCGGAAGCTCTGCAGAAAGAGAAGCATTCTCAGAGTATTTTGGTCTGAAGCTGCAAGACTTTATGGAGTCCTGATTTGGGCTCCCACACATGATTGTTTTTGCTACATTGAAGCCTATTGATGGGATACACCTCCAACCTTCTCTACACAATCAAAAACCTGTCCAAGCAACATTCTGAAGGCTCCCGGATCCTCACTTGTTGTGGGTTGGAAGTATGAATGGAGGGCCATTGGGGAGAATGGCCATTTTCTCCCAGTAAAAAGGAAAGACAGTTTCAGAAATTGCCTTGAGAACAAACATGGCTGCCAGGGAAAGGACCCATACACTGCCAATCTCTTCTTTCAAACTTGCTGGACCATTTCCTTTTTTCCAGAGGCAATTCTGCCCTTAGAAAAAGGAAACTATGTAAAGAATGCACAAAAGGAACATCCAGAGTTGTTGTTGTTGTTTAGTCGTTAAATTGTGTCCGACTCTTCGTGACCTCATGGACCAGAGCATGCCAGGCACTCCTGTCTTCCACTGCCTCCCAGAGTTGGGTTAAATTCATGTTTATGAAATACATTTATGTATCTTGAAGATGCTAAGCACAGACAAGGCAAAGTCCCCAATCTTTTCTCCCCAATGCCAGCTAAAGTCCATCAGTCCTCAACAGCTGAACTGCAGCACACTATGGGCAGACGTGATCTGCTTTGTGGCAGGTCAGTGTCCCTCACATCCCTAGGGCATCATTCTGCAGCACAGCACCACGCCTCACCTAGACTGAGCCACTGAGTCTAATGTGGATCCTGCTGCTCCACTGCATTCGTCTGATCTGCTCTCCTCACTCTCAGTGGTAATCCCTCTGCCCTGTCTTGATGCTCCATGCAATGCTCACCTCTGACCTCCAACTTTTTGTGTCCTGATTTAGCATGATAATCCTCTCTCTGCTGTGCCCTGCCTGGCCACCACCCCCATGCCCTTTTAGTCTTGATGACAGTCTTTTGAGTTCATTGTTTCTACTAACTTAAAGTACAGCTGTTCTTGCTATGGATTAGAAAGGCACATATAGTGAAACTGACTGCTATCAAAAAGAAAAGGGGGGGGGAAGGAAAGAACTCACCTGAATTTCTTCAGGCAGACAAAGGCCCTAAAATACTGCTGCAGAACTACAGTTCACACACTCAGAATGCAAGCAAGAATCAAAGCTATATCCAAGGATTATCGGGCAAGCAGATAGCTATAGTGCAGGATTTTCTGAGTGTTGCCTATCATACTCTCTGAGGTGTGCAAATTTAAAGGGTTTTTGTGCAGGAAGAGGGAGGAACTGCTGTTCCCAGAGACCTCCACAGTCAGGACCCCCTATTTTGTTATAAATTAAAATAAAATAAAAATATGAAAAATAAACCCTCCTGGCTGATGGGGTAACTGGGGACTTTATGGGCTTCGAAAATGCAGTCCTGGGAGCTGGAGTAGGCCCATTGAATCAGTGGAGATTTGGTGAGTCACGTTGATTCAAATGGGCCTAACTCTAGTTGTTACTTGCTGTAGAGTAGTTTTTGTAACTAAAATAGGCTTGTTTCAATCAATGGATTTTATGGAGCGTTGACTCACTAAATCCTTAGGGAATCAATGGGTCTACTCTAATTGTGACTTACTACTCTAAGTATAGTAATAGTATTTGAGCCAAGGTGCTATGACCCAGCTGAGGGCAGCCAAACAGCTTCACTGGAGATCCACTGACTACCAAGAGTGAAGCACATACTTAAATCTCTCACACAAAAATCAATATGACTTTAATAGTACCTAGCTTCTCCTGGATCATGTCCAATGTCTCTTACAAAAGGCATTTCTCCAAGATGTTGTAAGAATAAAATATGGGCCAATGTTTTGACAGATAGCTATATAAAATGAGACAGAACTATGCTGGCAAACTCCGTAACATGACGTGAAAAAGACAGTTCATTTAAGCAGGTGAACAATTCAACAAATCAAGCAATTTCATGCTTCTGATTGTGTGCAGAGATTGTGGACAATGCACTGGAGAATCCACAACACAAAATCGGGCTTTAGAAAACCAAAACCACCCACACATTTAGAAAAAAAAAACACTGGGCCATTTTATATACAAATGCTACTGAAATACCATCAAGTTCTATAAGCTTTGCCGTCATGCCTGCTGCATTTTAATGCAGGCTGTGCAAGCTGAAAATAAACCTAGCAAAGCAGCACTAACACCTCCCTATTTCTCTGTTGTTCACTGCAGTGCTTACGCTGTTGCCTGGGCCTTAATGCAGTACCATGCCCTTTTGTCAAACCTGGGCCATTAATTATAGAATGTTACCCATTAGCATCCGCTAATAATGCTCAGAAAATGCATTTGTGTTCTATTTATAAACCAGGCAAGCAGGCTTTGCTCTGCAGCTTGTGGCTGAACATTCTTCACTATCTAATCACAAAATGCAATGCAGAAGCCCTGCCAGCGCATCCATTTTCCCTCTGCAGTCTCTGATTTATTTCCCATTTTAATCTCTTCTGTCTCTTTCTCAAGGTTTTTTTCCTGCTAAGCTATACTGTGTCTGGTGTGTAGACAGCCTTTTGAAATCTATGCAGGAGGGCTTCCAACATCATATGAAACAGCAATTACTGGTTTAGTTTATATGCTGCTGTTCCAAAGTGGTCTCTCTATGCCTACCATGCTTATAACAAAC